TGGAGTAATGATGATGGAAATTCAGCTTTGCATCACAGAAATAAATTATATTTTAAAGTATATTAAAATAGAAATCATAATTTTATATTGTAATAACATTTTGCAAGATTACTGTTTTTTCCTGTATTTTTGATCAAATAAATGCAGTCTTGATGAGCATAAGAGACTTCTTTAAAAAACATTACAAGTCTTACTGATCCCAAACTTTTGACCGATAGTGTATATAAACCATAAGAGACTAGTTCTTTCATTAAAAATCTTATTTATTCCAAACTTTTGACATGTAAATAAAAAATAAAATATAGCATTGAAGTTTCAGCCAATTTCTGCATTTTCAAGTCAAGAAAAAAGTATATATTAATATGCTGAACAGAGAAACCCAGATATATAAGTTTCAGTGTCCATTGCCAGGAGCTCTCTCACGCTCTTAAAGTGAGTCATGGACGATGAACACAAACCTCTCTGAATTGGCAGGCCGGCTGGTGACGGGTTTGAACAGCGAGACCCTCTCGAAGCAGAGGTACAGCAAATAAATCAAGCCCACGCTGAACGGTGTGAACAGGTCAAACGTCTTACACACAAAATGGCCTCCTGTAAAACACAAAGATTTTGAGTTGAGAAGTTGAAGCAAAAGTGTTTAAATAATTAACATTCATCTATTTAAATAGACCATATAATGGAAAACAACCAATCACAACAGCTCATTTAAATAATCTTAAAGGCACAGTAACAAAAAAAGCCTGTTCAAATAAAAAAATTAAGAGAAACAATAGAAAAAATGTTCATGTAAAACTAAACATACAAACTTTTGACTAAAAAAAGTGGACTTCAAAAAAAAAAAAAAAGATGTACTCTAGAAAGGTTTTAAAATATGGCTCTTCAATGCTAGAACCGTTAAAAGTATTACCGTTGATTTGATACAGCTAAAATGAGCTCTCAAGTAACCAAGTCTTCACTCAGTCACATAATTACCTTCCTAATTAGGATTTCAGAATAAATAGACTTGTGTCTGGGTGCATCCCAAGATAAAATCCAAACAGATCTGAGACAAGAGGCTGTACAATAATATCAAGGCAAGAAAAGGCATTAAATAATCTTCAAAGCCTTGAGAAAGACATCATTAAAGAGATGAGATCATTTGGATCCGCTGTTAAAGAACTGGCTGTCCTCCAAAACTGAGTGTCTGGGACTGAAGAAAAACCATGAGACCTATGGTAAGCCAAAAGAAGATACAGTGACAAAGATAGAAGATGCACTACTGATGTCGATCGTCCCTAGAGTGGAGCACGATGAAGTTTTAATGATACTTCTTCAACATCAGGGGAATGAAAACTCATGAAGAGGAAGGGAAAAAATAGGCCGAGTGAAACCAAAAACATCCTTGAGGAAAACAAGGATTTTGAGTAATTTAACCAAGTTTGTTTAACCAAGACGACAACTTCCAATAAGAAAATGGCCAAATCATACGCAAAAAAGCCCCAAAAATGGTGGCCCATAAAAATCCAGACCTCCATTCAAACATCTATGGAATAAAACTGCTAATCTCAAACGAACACAATCCATTTTGAACTACCTATTAACTCCAGAGTTTCACAACTATCTACAGAGCAAAGAACATCTAATCTTACCAAATAGTGAATCTGCAATTAGATTTAAAAAAAAATTTTTTTTAAAAAGTGAGTTTGCAGTTAGTTTGCAAGCTTGAACTGAATGTAATGAGACAAATAGACACAAAATAATGGCACACACAGTAAAGTTTTTCTATTGAATCACAGCAAGCATACAGCGTAAAAAAAAATTTAGTCTGAATCTAGGCCTGGGTAGGGCTGGACGATATGGCCAAAATTGATATCACGATATGTTTCTTAATTTCGGTCGATACGATATAATTCCGATATCGATATGAACACTATTTATCTGAAATAGAAATCTTTTGTAACATTATAAATGCCTTTATCATCACTTTTGATCAATTTTAAGCATCC